GGCAACATGATATGCTCGATCCAATTGAATGCCTTGATCTGCATCTCAGAAAAATTGCATTGGACGGCTATGAGGGCATGAGACCCGACGTTAACTTCGCCAAGTTCTTTGTTCTGAATGCAAGGGTGCTCAAAATAATGAGATTCGGCCTCTTTGGTGGCCCCAATGAGAAATGGATGGCTAATCAACAGAGGCGTCTGCAGCTGGATAACAGAGCCTCTAGAAATGCTCGATTTGATTTTAAAAGAGTTTATGGTGACTGTAACATGCACATACATGATATTAGGAAGGCTGATCCCTTTGATAGCTAAATGATGTCGATGATGCTCATGGTTGCTGCACGGGGCTGTGATCTTCCTCAAGGCAGTTAGCTGATCCCTTGTTGCTTCGTTTATTTTCTTCTCTTTGGGGTTTGAGTGAGGAGGGCATCATTGACTGTAAGGTGTCATTTTAATTTCTCTTATGTTCTGTGTGTTTGAGTGAGGAGTACCTTGCACCGTAAGCTTTGTATCGTGTGACCATTTTGGGGCCTTCTTAAGACGTAATGCCTTTTGTCTAAGAAAATGTTGTTGATCGGTTTGATTCCGAGATACTCTGTTTACTTTGTCATATATTTCTTTCCAAACATTCACAACCTTTTGTTCTTATGGAAACCTTGGTGCTACCGTGTACTGTATGCTGACTGAAAACTGAAAGAGCAGCTCATCTTTGCAAGTTGCCACGTTTTGTCAGCGTACTTGAGGTGGAGGTGTTAAACCCTTGCAGACAAATCTCCCGGAGCTCGGGGAATTATTTTGAACAGAAGAGGGAGCTTAACTATCACTGAGAAATCATTTTAAGCTAGCATGTAAATGTGATCTAAAATAAGTTTGTTGTGTGAAATGTTGTTCCGAAACTTCAGCAGCAAACTGATATAAACACAGAACAAATGGTATATTTGGTGAAGTTATATTGTGTCCCCGCCTCCCTGGCGTGTCCAGGCTCCCCTACACCTCCCCTAGGTTTGGTTTCGATTAGTGTGATTTCGGATGTCCGGACCTTCAACAAGGGCGCGTCAACATTATCTGATCAAGCTAGAGTTGAGACCATGAAATGGGCAACACCGCCATTGCAACATTGTCTGATCAAGCTAGAGGTGAGACGATGAAATGGCCAACGACGCCATTGCGTTGCTCCACTGAGAGATTGGGATCCGCTAAGTCGTAGGACAATCGCGGCCGGCGAGCTTGGACCCATGAAGCCCCATGCCATATGCGTGAGCTCCAGCCCGCCAGATCGGCGTGAAGCAGCTGGTTGCGCCACTCCACCGATGAGCAAGATCGATGGGCTCCGCAGATGCGTTAGATGTCGGTTATTTGTTGTGTTTGCGGATGATGCATAGATGATAGCGATGTAATGCAGTCATTTTGTATTTGCTGTGTTTTGCCCAAAGAACAGCAGCAATGCGGATCCTCCACAAAAAAGTTAGGGTTTCTGCCTCCCGCCGGCGCCACCGCAGGTCCGCCTCCTCTCCGATGGGGGCGTGGTGGATCTCGACAAGTGCCGGAGGGAGGGTTTCGTTTTTAGTCGTTTCTTTCAGTCTTGTTAGGGTTTGTGTCCTGCTCAGGAAGACGAGACGGCAGTGGCTCCCTAAAGATTGAATAAATGTCTCCCCGCCTAGCCCCTGTTCCGGCGGTGCGTCTAGCACCATCGGTGGGCGTGTGGAGGTGTGTCTCTTGCGGATCTGTCTTTGGTGGATTTGCTAGAATCTCGTCGTTGTTCGTCTACGTTCGTGTGTCTTCGGATTGGATCTTTCTGATCTACGTTATTCTTCATCTGCGGCGGTTGTTGTTCTGGTGCATTGGTCCTACGGGGCCTTAGCACGACGACTTCCCGACTGTCTACTACAACAAGTTGTGCCCGACTCCGGCGATGGAGGGGCGATAACGGCGGCGCGCCTTCGGCTCGCTTCAGTGCTGGTAGTCGTCACTAGGTGGTCTACAGATCTGGATGTAATTTCTATTATTTCTGGTATTCGTTGTACTGCCATGATTGAAAATGAATAGATTGGAATTTTTCTCGCAAAAAAAGAGAGCAGCAATGTGTGCTTTGCTTCTGTGTTTCTTTTAAAAAGAATGAAAAATGGAGATCCCATGTTTGTTCGAACAACAACCACTTCTGAATGAAAAACTAAAGAAAAAGAAGAAGAAGAAGAAGAAAAGGCGTATGTCTTAACTTGGTTTATTCAGAAGTACACCCACATTTTCGAGTGTCAAATATTTGGCTAAAAAATAAAAGAATCCAATCTGCAACGGTGACCGGTTTTGTACTTTTTTTAGTTGGATGCTTAGAGCATCTCCAACAGCCGCGCTTCACGCCACGCG